ATAGATAGATAGATAGATAGATAGATAGATAGATAGATAGATAGATAGATAGATAGATAGATAGATAGATAGATAGATAGATAGATAGAGGCCTAATGGTTAGAGAGTCAGACTTGTAACCCAAGGTTCGAGTCTTCGAGTCTCAGTACTGGCAGGGATTGTAGATGGGGGGAGTGAATGACCAGCGCTCTCTTCCACTCTCAATACCACAACTGAGGTGAGACCCTTGAGCAAGGCACCGAACCCCCAACAGCTCCCAGAGTTGGGTGCCATAGCAAAAATGGCTGCTCACTGCTCTCTGTGTGTGTGTGTGTGTGTGTGTGTGTGTGTGTGTGTGCAACCTTTGAAGCTCTGGGTGTGTGTTCACTGCTCTGTGTGTGTGCACTTGGATGGGTTAAATGCAGAGCTCAAATTCCGAGTATGGGACACCATACTTGGCTAAACGTCACGTCACTTTCATATGTAGGCACACCAACAGTGTGCATTATATTTTCATGTCAACAGGGGGCGCTGTATCCTTATATTGAACACCAATTTGTAATTCACATCATTACAATTAGTCAAAAGGTATTAGTCTTAAAAACTCGTGTCTGCTGTTAAAAATAATAATAATTCGATCTAAGGACTTATACATTATGTTTATAATCACTATGCCAAAACACTATTTAGAAACAACATTAGTATTTCAAATTACAATCAACTTTTGTCGTCGGTAACACACAACAGCCACTATAGAGCAAATAAACAACGATTTCATTGCAATTTCTTATTTTAATTCGTTCGTTCACTGCTACAATTAAACGGTAAATCAAACAAATAATTTATGATAGAAAAAAAACACTAATTAAACGCAAAAATGCCAGTGTAACGTATTATCATGCTATCGCCCGTACACATGTCATATTCTAGAACATTCGCGAGGATTCTCCAGTAATAACAACCCAACAGAGCAACTTCCCTTTCAACGAAATTCAAATGTTTGTGCATTCCCTTTAAACGAACATACCATTTTAAGCGAAGGTAGGACACCTGACCGCAAAGACTGACTAACTGCGAGATTTTTTCTCTCACAGTGACTCGATCAGGTCAGCTAGTTATTGTAAGTTTTTAATATTGTAAACAGCAGATATGATAAAGGTTTCGTTTGATTTGTGTTGATATTTTATTTGTTTTGGTACGCGTAAACCCCTATCCCCGTGACAGATGGTAGCGCCCAGCCCATCTGTTCTCCTCCTGTGAAATGCGGATTGAAACAGATTGTACGACTCCACGGGTCGCAATGGCTGCTGCACCGCAAGGACAACAAGTTTTGCTGTTCAGTTAAACAAGTCCTATGTGAGGAACACGACGGACGGAATCGTCTAAGCCACACTTTTTAATGTGAGACACTCGTTGGAAAACAGAAAAATGTCCCAGGGATGTATAACTTCTGTGGAGGAGATCCAGTCTTGGTGGGAAGTCCCCGCCATAGCGCACTTCTGCTCTCTCTTCAGGACGGCGTTCAATTTACCAGACTTTGAAATCGAGGTAAATTATACCTGTCCGAATTTACGCCTCCGTTTTCTTTCCGTCAGGTTCATTAAAACGAAACTAAACAAAAAAAACTCAAGTTGGCCATATTTCCCAACCACATGACACACTATTAGTGAGCTAAGTTACTAATGGTGCGCCAGCGCAATTCTCTGATAGTGATATTGATAGAATAAAGTCAGTTATTTAGCGTTGGTTTATATAATAACAGAGCTAAACCGTCCAGCCAGCCAGACGTCTACCCAAAACACTGGACGTGCTGACTGTTGTGTTTATGAATTTTTTTTTTTTTTACTAAAGATTTTAATAAAGACAAAGCTTGTTTTTTTCAGAGGTTAGTAGTGTTTGGTTTTGTCTTTGTTTATAAACTGCGTGACTGAGTACCGAGTTGGGTTATATAGTAGGTTAGACTTTGTTTCACCTTGTTGAAGTTCAACAAAATGTTAATGTAATCGGTCTGTCCGTATCCGCGTTGAAGTCTAGCCTTAAATTCGAGTTTAAAGTCGCCTGTTTATTCTCGTGAGACCTGTTCTTTCATTTTGGGATTCACGCCGCAAGTGGCGTCGAGTAAGATTGACTCATAAACTTTCTAGTGTCGTGATTAACTGGATCACCTGGGCTTGTTTTGTTGTGCTGTGTTGTTTAAGCTTGGTGCTTTGTTGTAAACTCAAGCCAAGTTCATGATTATTGGGTTACAAGTTTATTGTTTGATCACAGGCTGCCTTCGAATTGGTCACTGTTCCATACAGTCTGTCTGTTTTGTTTATTGATTTAGTCTCTTTACAATGATGCTGTAAAATGAGTCTCAAGTGGACCTGTCGGTGCGAATGTAAACCTGAAACATTTAAATAGTCGTTTTTACATTGACACCCCCATTTTTAACATCTCCCCCTTACCTTGCTTTTGGAAACAACAGTGAATTATTCACAGGCATCAGTAAACTCGGTCCATCTCGACCCCCACATGTGTGAAACGTGCTAGTAGTCACTGGCTTTGTTATTGCATGAAGGATTTGAGGTGCTGATCACCGCGTGCTGCTTCCCAGAAAAAGTTATAACTGACATGATCAGTTAGGAATTTCCTACTAGAGATTTACAATATTGCCCTGTTTATGACAGATAATTTTATGAAAGATTATCATAAGTGTCTGATATGCAGAAATTACTTTTTTTTTATTTTTTACTCAAAATAACTAAACAAAACAGCTTTTTATTAAAAACAACAAATTATTACTATTAAATAATTATTATTGAATTATCTGTTTTTAATTATAAAGCTAATTTTATGCAGAATTTTTTTTGTAATAAAAATGTATTGCTTAAGAATAAATTGCTGTGTTTAA